TTTGGTATTAAAAACTCAGAGGAGTGCCAAGTAGGATAGGAAATAAAGAATAGTTCCACAGATTTTGCTAGAATTCTCCACAGATTCTTTGCTAGAATTCTGCTATTATAGGCTCATTTATGAGGCTGCATAGAGAACTGTGAAACATCCTTTGAACTCTAAGGGCCAGATGGTTTTGCTGTTAGATTCTAATGACCCACAGCAGTGTGCATACACAGACATCACAGTTGCCAGTTGACTAAACACGTGTGATGGAGGCAGGAGAATTCATGACCCGTGTTTCCAAAACACAAGCTAGTCCTGCTTGGGCAGAGTGGACTTCCCCCCATCGCTACTGATGGGATAAAGAAGCATTTCTGCTACTGCCTCAAAAGGGACACAATTTCTAAAGCAAACCATGAGCTTACCTGGACCTGAGGAGCAAACGGCAGGCACATCATCCCATTCAATCTGAGGTAGATCCCTGCTGATGCAAGTGGATTTGCTTGAAGGCAAGGGTTCTCTGGCGGGCTGTGTGGACCCCTGATCCCAGTGCTGTATCACTCTGCTGGAAGAGGGAGAGAAAGGCTGGACTCACACCAATTAAAACTGTAGGGCAGAATGATAGTTAGTCTGCTCTCATATGGAACTGCTTGTAAGACATGATTTATTTTGGATTATATTGATTTCAACAGATATAATATGAACTTGCTGATTTTTCAAAGATATGTAGACAAAAAGACTCAATATGGTTTTATTAATCTTTTAATTTAGAACTACAAGTGTTTGAGTGGCCTGTGAAATTATTTTAATGATCTCTGCACAACACTGAGCTGTCAGCACTATAAATGTCATCCTAACTGGGTATTAATTTACATCATGGCCATTTAGTCTCACCAGCATAGCTACCTCCATGGAAATGTCATGTCTGTGTCAAGCTGTTGGATAAAAACAGAGAGTCACTGTTGCCAAGAAGCATCAGTGTATTCAATATTCATAACACTCAGTTCGAAGAGGAAGACACAAAAAATCTAGGAGCACTGTGAGTGTGCAGCTTGCCTTTGGAGCTTCAGGCACAGCATCAGAGAGTGATTTGCATTCAAACCAGTGCTTCTATCTCTGATCATTAAAAATGTGTTCCAGCATTGCTCATACTAGTTGAAATAGACTTACCTGTATCCTTCCCTTTTCTATCTCTCACTTTCTAACATTATAAAAAGTCACAGGATAAGAGGACTCCAGTGAATGAGAAGTGTGACAAATTGAATTTGATACAACTTTTGGCCACTAGTACAAGATGAATATTAATATATCACATGAGGCTGCTCTTTTTTCTCATATAGAAGGCTAAAAAATTGTTTGACCAGTGACTGTATAGGCTGTAAGGATGCATCTAAGATAGTGACAAGACTAAAGTAACAGAGTTTGAAAATTTAAAAAAAAAAAAAAAAGAAAAAGAGGGATGTGGTGATAAAGGAGGAGTGGAAGAAGCGTCTTCTAGAAGTTAGACAGTTGGACTTTAAACATCCAAAACTTATAGCAAAGATAAAACAACCAAAAAACTTCGTATACATGGTGTTTTGTGGGGTTTTTTTCTGTTCAAAGTTAGGAATATTAGCCTGAAGTTCTAAATTGTTATCTTTTGCCTTAGCTCACATACTTAATATTTTAAACCTGGCAAAAGAAATACTTCTGTATTTTGGATTTTTTCTTGTATGATGGATATTTGAAGACCTGATTATAGGATTTTTCCAACACTGTCACTTTTTCTTTATGTCTCATGTAGCTTTAAGAAGGATACTTAATGTTGACTTCATAAAAAACCCTGAAGTTTGCTTTCGAGTGTTTGGAACTTCAGCTGATATACATGCAGTGTACAACAGCTGTTTTTCAAACCTAGGATAAAAATGAAATGTGAAAGTGCTATGTTACATGAACCTCCCCTTACTTATGATCACTGACATTAGTGAGAGAGCCTCTCACAGAGTAGAAGTTCTGCCATGTTACTCTGCAGGCTCTTCGTGGGGAGAACACAGAATAGTTTAGAGCTCGTGTCTTGTGTACAACTTTATTTTGCTCCAGAGCACCTCTTTAAGATCTCTTGTCCATGGGTATTTTATGGTTCCAATCTTCTCAATAACCAGGGCAAATTCTCTTTCTTTCCAGTTAGTTGAACATGCAGTGGCAACGCTCTTGTAAATCAGAGGTGTCTCTTTTGAAGCTCCAAGAGATAACTCAGTGAACACAAAATTTAGCAAGTTGAGGCATTTCTATAGTGTGTCAAAAAGGTTCCAAATGCATCACATCCACAACAGTTGGAGAAATTAAAGAGGTGCTTTGAAATTTCTTGTTACTCCTCTACATGTCAGTTCTTCTGGGCACGGTGACCTAAGGGAGCATGCAGTCCTCACAGGATTGGACTTTGCTGAATTTATTTGTCCAGCTAGCTCTCCCACTCAGCCAGGCTGAAGCAGGAAAAGTAATGCCCCTGGAAACCTGCCCTTGCAGTGATTCAGCTGCCACAAGCCATAGCCCTCGGTGTGACATGAGTGGGCGCGGCTCCTATTGTGCCAGTGGTGTGTGCCACTAATACCAGCTGAGGGACTAAGCCCCGCTTCTGAGCTTGCACAGCTGAGCTTCTTCCATTTAAGGGAGAAAGCATAACACACGCTGAACTCTAGATCCCAAATCCAGTGGAAACCTAGCCGGTAGTAAGCAAGCACTGCCAAGGAGAAGTATGATAGCAAGGTCTTGAATGACTAAGATTCTTGAAAGCCTTGGCCAGTATGAGAGACAGTTTCCAACTGGGCAAAGTACAATATTTTCCCTCTGCTTTTTATGAATGACTGGATAGGACTGTGCTGGAATTGGAGTCCCCTGTGGAAGCCATTCACAAAAATAACAAAACAAAACAAACACACACAAAAAGCCTTTCTAGGTCCAGTCCAGAGCCACTTGGTGCCAGAGGCTGGGAAAACATGCTGGCAGCTCAAGCCCCAGCTATCACTGAAAGTATTCAAGGGGCTTTTTGGTGGTCTGAAAAGTATGAACTGCTGTATAGAAGGGCAGCTGGTAGAATTACTGTGACACATACTAGGCAGAAAGCCAGAGCTGGCCTTGTTTCAGACATTGTCTTTCCTCTCATTTAAGTGTCAGGACCTAATTCATGGAAAATTTAGTGAGTTGGCAGCTCTTTCAGAAGATTTCATTGAGCTACAGTGTGTGTGAGTCACATGAATGTAGAGTGCATGGCCAAAAATATATGGGGATTTCTGAGCAGGAGAAAACAGTCAGCCTGTAAAAATGTCTGTGGATTTCATATGGTTTGGGAGTAAACACATATACAGGTGTAATCAGCAGGGAAGAAGAAGAAGAAAATAAACTAGTGGCAGATTACAGAAAAGCTCAGTATATTCCTTAATTATGAGAGATTTCTTTGAAACAAATAATTCCTTAGTCCAAGGGCAGTAAATGTCCATCAAGTTCAGGGCTTGCAGTCCACCTGGAGAAGGCATCAGTAAAATATATGCCTTGATAATACTTTCTCAGTTGCGAGGGAATTTAATGGAAAAGAAAAGGATCCACCCTGAAGTTTAAAGACAGACCCAGCCGTCACGTAATTTTTTTCCTGTTATTTATTTGAGAGCAGAATTTGGAGCCTGAGGCACAGATACAAAAATATAACAGCAGTAGGATTCTGCTGAGTTAGAAAAAGACTGAAAATAAACAAAGCATCTCTTGTTAAAATGGGACGCTTGTGGTGGGCAGTCTGAATCGAATCAGTTACATTTAATTTACATTTTCATTGATCCTTCCCACTGATATATTGCTCCAAAAGACCAGTTACATTAAACTGCTTATTCAGAAGTATTCCAGTTATTTCCTACTACACTGTCATGAAAATTAGGGTTTTGGCCATGCAGAGGGACAGCATATTGGCTTCTGCCCAAGCCAGGCGCTAAAATAATGGCTAGAATTGGGATAAAGCAGGAAGGAAGGACAGGAAGAAAATCATTGCGTGTGATTCATAGACTTTGAAAACAGTGCAGGGAAGGGGGGTAGGCAGGAGCTGTGCCCCTCTGAAGTTAGAAAAGCTCTTTTGTTCTTTCTGTGTCAGGATTTCATCCTTCATCTGTGGTCTTATTGTTCCATGGTGCTCCTAGCACCCACAAGCATCATCACATCATGTGGGCAGTGGTGGTGGATTTTAAGTATGTCTGTATTTGTTCCTTAATTGTTACTCCTCCTCCCCCAGGTGGGGATGAGGTGCATTGGCACCTTGTGGGTCTCCTGACTCATGTGAGGACCACGTTTCCCAGTCTTGGCTGGGAGTAGCCAGGAGGGAGACTTGCTGAGGAGCCACTGCAGCACCACGTTCTGCATAGGCAGGTGGACACACTCAACCTGCCTGAGGATAGGCATCCCCAAAATCACATCAGTAGGCTCATGAGGGTCAGTACATGAGCATCACCTTCATGCAGCTGAAGGTCTCAAACCAGAGCTTCCAAGGGCTCGAACCACTTCTCCCCCCCAGCCTCCTGGTTTTGGCAGGGATGGCTGTGCTCATGGCCAAGAGGGCAGGCTTCCACACAGCAGGACACTCGACTCATGGCTGAGAGAGTATCATGAGAGAGGGAACAGCATCAGTGTAGACAACAAAACACAGTTATAAAATCAGGCCACTCTCACGGTCTGGTAAGTTAATGTAGCAAAGGAAATCTAGCAGTACCATAGAAGAACTGAAAGATGTAACACGCAAAGTTAGACTTCACTTTGGTTTTAATGATGTAAACTTAACATACTCCTCCTTTTCCATAGTAATCTGAACTACTTAAGAGCAAGATAGGTGTAGGAGAGGCTGGATGTGAGAGCTGGGTATGTTCATCTCTCCACTTCTGAATGTGGGCTTTGCCTATGTTTTGTTTCTATTGCTGAAAACATTTTTCCTAGCATTTGTGAAATCACAGTTAAGTGCTGTCAGAGAATTTTGTTTCTCACTGTGCTTTTGTTTTACTTTTCAGCCTCAACAAGTGGTTCAAAAGAAGCCTGGTCAGGTAAGAAAAACTAATTTGAATTCTTTAGACTAAGTGAAATAGCTTTTTAGTATTTCAGCTGGTGTCCTTTACTGTAAAGAAAGAAGGGAAATACATCAATCGTGTGAGCTGGGGGAAAGCTGTTGGCTTGCTAGGCACAACCATCAGAGCAATTCACATAGTGACCCTTGGGAAAGGGAAGAGGAAACAGTGGATGGTGCTTGCTCAGAATTGTCCTCTTTCTGCATGTCTCACCTTGCAATGACAATGTAGACATATGTATACACCTCCATGGTGTGAGTCCAGCATGTGATAAATATCTCTGTGTATCCTGAACATGGATAACTGGGCACTGCATTACAGCAAGGAGGGGCATAGGCATAAAACCAGTCTCCCCGTGGGTCTAAAGATTCCCTAAATCCACAAAATAAAATAGGATGAACTTTGTAATGGATCCATCATAAAGACTTAACACATTTGAATTTTTTTATTGGATAGTATTATTCTTCTTTAACACTCTGGACAAATGCAAGCCACAGGGTGAAACCAGTCAAACACTGCAGTTATAATCACCTTCGTTTTCTTGTCCCAGCCTGCCCTGTGTTAAAAGCCCCAAGAACCTAACTCTAGCACTCCGTTATATGTGCACCAGCAGAAAAGCCTGTGGGCATGAGAGCAAGTCCATCCCTGGGTCTCCAGAGTCCATGGGTTGTGCTGCTGTACCTCCATGTAGATGGATGATTGGTGAGTCAGGAGCATAAAGGGTCCATAGCTTTTCTGGAAAGAGGTCTGCTTTCAGAAGGGAATAATACTTTCACTTTTCCACCTTATGGTTTTAATACATTATTGTACAGTATACATTGTCATAATATCAACTGTAATCTGAATTAGGATCTGTTACATAAGAAACAGAAAACATCCTAACCATAAGTTGAAGGGGTAAAATGATGTAACTCTCCAAAGCATGTGCTGGAATCAGATTTCTACAAAAGAAATCAAGACAGTTGCAGCAGTGTGAGTCCATGCACAGGCTGGTGTGCCTGAATGGTGGACATGACATACAGAGTGAATGCAGTAGTACTTTCAAGTAAGGTCAATTTTGCAAGGAGAAGTAATGTCTTTTATTAGGCCAGCTTATGCAAGAAACAGTGTAAATCCCGAGGGACTTCTGACTATACCACACAATTCAAAACACAACAAGTTGTTCTAATAAAAGATATTTCCCCTCCCTGGCCTCGCCTATATCCTTCAAATGTTATGGCTGCAATCAGGCTGTTCCTATTACTGCATGGTAGTAAATCTGCCAGTGCACGAAGCCAGCTATCTCCTCTGTGGCACCTGAGAGACTTGGAGGCTTAAATCCTGCTGTGCAGAGGAGGCCAAATCCAGGAGGCAAAGACTCCTGGGAGGCTGTTTGTGTTGCCTTTCCTTCTAGTACATATCAGTGGGGTCAGCAGGAAGAAGGGATTTAGAGCTGGTGGCTCTACCTAAAGCCTAGAGTGGCAGAAACCATTGCTGCTGATGGCATGTGTGGTGCCACCAGGTCTACAAGATGCCTGGGCACTTACTCCTTCAAGTGCTGTGTTTGAACAATAATCATGCAAGCCTTAGTGCAAGATAGTAAGAAATGCCAGGGATTGAACCTGGGCTGGGGTGTAGGAAGACAAAGAGGAGATCTGGACTCTCTCATTTGGTAGGACAACAAAGTAATGACAGATTTCATTGGTGGCAAAGTGATGTAGGCACTTGAACCAAAGCACCAGCATTCCCTGTGTGAATTTTCCTGTCCCTCTGCTAATGCAGTGATTCTGGTGGGGATGCTGTAGAGTGCTTCAACCAGCTGGATGCCACTGCTGCTGCAGCGGTGCCTTGGCAGCATCTCTGTGTTCAGAGACAGAAAGAGAGAAAGAGAAAAGAAAGTCCTTTGACATTCCCATTAGTAATGAAAGTCTTTGTGCAGAAAGCAAGGAGGCACAGAAGAGTACATGAAAAGAGAGAGAAGGCTGTTTACAGCTCTCCAGTTGTCACAACTGAGTAGTGAAATAACACTCTTTAAATTATTTGTATGTCATGTCTTTATGCAGAGAACATTTCCTTTTTTTTTTTAATCCTTGGCCTGAAGGATGTTCAGTGAAATCACTGACTCTTCTTTAACCCTTCCTGTTTTCAGTAGACCCTGCTCCCATGCTTATGGTAGCACAGCATTGCAGCTTTGCTAGTATAAGTGTATGGCAGCGAACAAAAATTATCATGGTGAACAAATGCCCATGACAGTGTCTTCCTGAGGCTGAAAGAAGGAGGGGTAAAACAGTGTAATTCCTGAGATGATCAGGAACTTCATGGTGCTGGGTTTCACTCAAGTCTTGTTGCCTTTCTCTGATTTCTTTTTATACTACTGAATTTCTCTTTAAAGTAGGGAGGTTCAGACTGAGAATTAGCAACAAGAACATGAGCTCATGCAGGCTTCCTAATCTGAGCTGTCTGAGGAAATAGTGATAAATTGTGTAAACATGGGGACTACATGGAAGTTCATGGAGGATAATGTAAATCTTATACTGCATTCAGAGGAATCTCTTCCTTTTCCATCTGTTTCCTTCAAAATATCCTCCCAGATGGCTTTAGCATGTGGCAGTCTGGATTAAGTTAGGAATGTATCCTGTCTTCATCGTTGGGGACTGTAAGAGGTTACAGTCAAGAACTGCTGGGTGATGGTGAGCCTCCCTTGGTAAAAGTGGCAGAAATTCCTGATCAGGCTTCATCCTGAGTGCTCTCATGTGCTTTGAATTTTAGGTGTATTCTTGAAGATTTCTATGAGCGTTAGTGTACATCACCATTATTCTTGTTATTGCTGCTAGCATCTGTGTCTCTTGGGCTTGTGTAATTTTTTAAAATACAGAAGCAGTAGGACCAGATAAAATCCTAATTTTATGAATAACAGCTCTGTTCCTGTAACCATTTCCCGGATTTTAAGCATCATGCAGGGCTCTGTCATGCTCTAAATCTCTTTATGGATATCTACTGTCCAGTGTGGGGCCATACCGATATCTGTATAAAGTTTTACAGTATCTTTAAAACATTCCCAGAGCTCTCAGAATTTACCCACACAAATGCAGTAAATAGCACCAGTAAAATCCACTGGAAATCTACACATCCATATCATTAATATAAACCTTTGAATACTGTGGTCTGTACACATCTTTGTGGTGATTATGATGCATATTCTCACACTTACTTGGGTAAATGAAGAAAAAATAGCCAGCTCAACTGCATGACATTGGTAAATTTAGCACTTTCACATAAATATTTGCCTAAATGTCAAAACAAGACTCTTTGAAATCTGCCCTGTCCCCAAAGAACATAGAGCCAGATTTTGCAATCAAGATGTAGTAATATTCTTACTAAGGCGTGAAAATAAACAGTCCAAGTAGAAGTTTCTCTGTTTCCTCATTTTTAGGCAATTTGTAGCAGCTGTAGACTCAACCATATGGGGGAGTTGCACTCTTAAGTAATACAAAGGAAATAGATATTTTTATGAAACATAATTAAAGTTATCAAAGTTTTCTGGAAACAAGATATGTTTTATTTTCATCATTTCTGGAGAGAAGAAATACTTTACGTGCAGAACAGCCCTTTGAAAATCTTGTAATCTCTTTTGGAGATCTATTAAAATCTCAGATCTTCACAAATCCTTCATTTCTGAGTCTGTAAGACAGCATACCAGGTCAGAAGGACAGTGTATAGGTCAGGAAAAAGATTGTATCTGTCAGAAAAGTACACATAAATTATACATAGAAAAGTGTGCACAAAAAAATGTGTACACCAAAAGAACACATAAAGTATACTCTTCTACCTAATGCAAAATGTAGTAGATGCTTTCAAAACAACATACAAAAAAAATCAAATCCCAACAAGAACAAACATTAGAAAGTGTTATTTTATATAGGAAAGAAGGTGCAGATTTGCTATATTTTTTCCTGTTACTCATTTCTCAATCTTGGTATCAATAAAGTTCTGCATGTTAATTAGTCGTAATATATATACACCTCAAACTGCACCCATCACATACGTCTACTCAATGTAGGACACAGTAAATGCTGAAAGCATCAGACAGACTCTGCAGCCCAAGAGCTGCATCTGTGATTCACACATTCATATGCAGCCCAAAAGTCAAAGACTTTATGAGCAGAGCTAAGCCTGGGACCCATGATGGTTGTGTAGCAGGTCCAGCATGCTGAGATACCCTGGCCAGTAGGCCCAAGATTCAAATACTTCATCACCTTTTTTTGCCGTGCGATAAATCTGCACTTGGACAAGCTTCAGGCATTCTGCTACATGCTAGCCCCCTCATGTGAATTTAGCCTTTTCCCTTCTCAGACAGATATGTGGTAGAAATACCCCAGAGACCCACTTTCACAGGATGAAAAGAAGCTTCCAGTGTCACTGACAGGATGGTAAATCCCTTGCACCCAAGTAAGGTGCACATACACATTTAAGAGAGTGAGTGCCACTGTCCAAGGCCACCCTGTGTCCTACCAAGGCAGGAATACTGCAGCCTTACTTCACTGAGCCTTGACTGTAGAAATATTGAAAAATCTCTGCCCTGGAAATTGTCTCAGTGCCCTGGGGTTTCATTCCTCTTCCTGCTGCTTCCAGCAAGCTGTGTTGTGTGTGGACTGTGTATGTCCTGGACTTTTTTTGTATCTACTGATGGCCAGTCTCTTCGCGAACGAAGAACCGGGGAAGGTCTTTACACCTTCCAGCCTGCGCATTGGATTTTTTAGGTGAGACACAGTGTGCGCGGAACTGAGCCCACCCTTTAACCCCGAGGTTCATCTGCTGATACGGAGAGTCAGAAAGTTCTCAGGGAAACTCCCAAAATTCAGATCCCAGAGGAGTAAAACTTTCTTTTCCAATAGTACATGGAATTTTTTACTTTAGAATAAGATAACTGGATATGTGTTATATAGGCCATTCCAGAACATCCTCTGAAAGTTACCATTCTTTTATTATTGCTCTTTTTT